TCTGACTCTTTTTCGCTCCTCCTCCACTCTTCCTCTCTGGCCTCTCATCTTCCGCGGCCCGTTTCTGTTGGGCCTCTCTGGCCTTCTTATCCGCTGCCTTTTGAGCTGCAGATGCAGCTGACCCCTTATTTTGTGTCTTCTTCGGCGCCATCTTGGAGACGAAATGTTGGCACTCTTCCGTCGGCTCGGCTTTTGTATACTGCATAAATCAGTGCGCACAACGTGCGTTGTAAGTGCGGAGCACGTGCTTACTCGGTACGGTCCACGTGAGTTCTGCGTGCTCATCAGAAAGTTGAACTGGGGAAGTGGCGAGTAAGCACGGACCACGCGCTTATCACGTGCGCAGCACGCACGTGCTAAGTGCGCCTTCCGTAGAGCAAGTGATCGTGGGAAACAAATTTAAAAACGCACGGAGTCAGTGCGTTGTGCGCTCGTTGGCAGTACCGGGCACGCACGTCACGCGCACTGGGGGTGAATCGGTAGCCCGAACGCAGCGAAAGTTCCTCGTGCACTAAAAGTGCTACGGTGTGTCTGCGTGCTCCCAAATCCGTACGGAGGCGGTACTCACCACGTACCGATACCCAAATTTTGCCCACGTTTTTGCACGTAGACAGCACGCACTTGCAAGTACGGCGGGATGTGACCACCGCATAAGTGAGTTCACCTCGAGTTACAACGAATCAGTGAAAATTTTGAACATGTTAAAACAAATTGGAACTGCTCGCGACTTCAAGGAGAGTCGTGGAATGTTGTAAAGAGTTACGCCGATCCAAACCGAGTTGTCGCGAGTTATCCCGAGTTACAAGAAGAGCTTTCGCGATTTATTGCGAGTGCCTCTTTGAGGCAACTCACCACAACTCGCCTTAAATATGAAGTTGAGTTCTGGTCATGCGATTGCATTGTGAAAGAAACGGTTTGGAATCGACCAGAAAAGATTGATCATCTAGCATTTAAGTTTTTGTGTGTATTGCAGGGATCTGGAATCATCAAAATGATAAGAAATTTGGCCAAGTCTTGGTGAAGTTACAAGCACTGTACACAGAAAGATTCATATGGGACTACACGAACACGTGGCGTAAGAATCTGTCCCGATTTGTACTATGTTACATGCCATATTTAGAATATGAAGGCATTTGAAGAGTCATGCTTTTCAGGTAATATGTTTAATCTGATGTTCTTCCACACTTGCATAATAACAATGATAACGCTCTCAAATTACTTCTCCTCTTTTCCCAGAACTCAACCTTCTCTTTGAATCGTTAATACAACCCGTCTAAGTGGGAGCCCTGCTTTAGTAATCATTTTAATAACCCGATTTAAAAAATGATTGCACGTATAGTAAATGTGAATGAACGGATTTTGAATTTGAAAGCTGATTCAACGCTGTGAGTGCCACTTGCTCGAATTCGAATGCTCGGCAAATGAACTTGAATAAAATAACTGTGAAATTGGCTGTAGAAACGTATATTAAACAACTTGCCAATTAGATACTAACATGCCGAAGCAAAAAGTCAAACATGGTTATAAGAAAACGCCCAAACTTCCTTGGATTTCTAAGTCTATATTGCGATCAATAAATCGGAAGAATAATCTTTATTATAAATATAAAATAAAAGGCACTGAGCAATCGAGGAGAAAATATGCATCCTATAAAAACATTTTGACTCGGATTATTCGATTAGAAAAGAAAAATTAGTTTGTAAATCGTTTGAAACCTTTAAAAAGTGATATGCAAAACACTTGGAAGGTAATCAACAAGCAATGAACCAAGTTAATAATAAAACTGAGGTTAATAAGATCAAATTTGATAATAAGATTGTTGAAGACCCTAAGATATAGATAATATTTTTAAGACCTATCTTTTTTTGATAGGTGATAATCTTGCTACAAACATTCCGTCTTTAAAAAAAGATTTTCTGGAGTTTTTAGGCCCTCACAATCCAAATTCTATTTTCCTTGTTCCAACTAATAGGCGAGAAATTATGAAAATTGTTTCTAATCTGAAAGATAAGAAAAGTTCAGGATATGATGGAATTAATAATGTTATTCTAAAATCCATAATTCCCTTTATTGTAGATCCATTGGTTCACATCTATAATATATCACCTTTACATGGTAAATTTCCTAATTCTATGAAAATAGCCAAAATTATTCCCTTATTTAAAAAAGGTGATAATCTGGATGTTGGTAACTACCGCCCGATTTCATTATTATCTTCTTTTCTAATTTTAGAAAGAATAATCTAAAACCGGATGATCTCCCTTTTGAAGAAATATGATGTATTTTCAAACCTCCAATTTGGTTTCAGAGAAAAGCACAGCACCGTTCATGTTTTAATGTTGAGAAGGCTGTCCACGCAATTGATACATCGTCACACACTGTAGGTGTATTCCTGGACTGCTCCAAGGCCTTTCACACGATCAATCACGAAATTTTATTTTGCAAACTATCTTACTATGGTGTACGTGGAAAGGCCTTCGAGTGGTTCAGAAGTTACCTCTCTAACATAAAGCAATATTGGTGAGGTCAATGCCAAGTTATTAGATATATTGCAATGGATATGAGCAAATAATACTTATTTCAGCTCGGTCAATTTGGCCCGAATTCACAAAGGATGTTTGTCGACAAACCTTGGTTTTCGTACGTCATATGACGCGTTTTACGCGTTTTTTACAAACCTGGTTTGTAAAGAACAAAAGGAGGTTTGAACTCAAACCTTGGTCTGAGCTCAAACCTTGCTTTGTGAATTCGGGCCATAATGTTTAATTACAATATTGGTATATTGCCTTCTGTGTTTGATGATATGTTTCTCAAAAACCATGCTGTTCACAGATACCCCACTCGACAATCCGATGAGTTTCACTTACCTCTTTTGAGAACATGTTCTGCACAGAACATGTTCACTTTTGAAGGCCCTAAATTTTGGAATACTCTGCATAACGATTCGGAAACTCCCCTTCACTAATTGCTTTTCAAAAAAGTTAAAATTGTTCTTATTACAATCATATAATATTTAGAAAAATTTATTGTGGTAAAACATCTCCTTCCCAATTTTTCTTTCCCTCTTTTCTTCAGTCCATCTCTAAAAAACTTAATTTCAAAACTACTTGCCATCATGTTCTTGCTCTTTTTGTTTCAGCTATCTCAATGATTTTGTGCGCTCCCTATATTTCATGTTCGATCTCTACAATTTCCCTTTTCTCACTTCTCCTTCCTTCCAAACGCAGCCCACATTTTTTTCTTCTTCTTTTTTTCCGTTCTTTCTTCGTCATGTAATTTGTTACGTCTTCTTGTTTACAGTCATTATGTGTTTTAATAAATGTTGTCTCTGTTGACCGCTATTCTTCTTTGATTGATTATTTATTCCATACTATTTTTACACTCATTATTATTTGAGAGGTCCACAATTTACAAGCTCTACTTTTCAGTGGACCTCTCCATTTCCTCAAAATATAAATGCAGTTAAATTAAAAAATTAAATTGTTGTCTTCCTCAAATGTATACATTACTATTAAGATTTGTTTATTGCAAATGTAAATATGTTTTGTATATATTTTACATTTTACATTTTACTGTACGAACCAGGCTTGGTTCATGTGGTTCACAACTTTTTAAAATTACTTTTTACACAGCTTTACACAACAAATTTACAGTGTATGCACTTGAAGAGCAAAATAATTATTCTGTTTTATTTACTAATGTGATTAAATATAAAGCACTTTGAGCATGTTTACGTAAAGACGATATATAAATATCAATATGTATGTATATATATTCGTTATTACGTATTATATTTTGTTTAAATTGAAAAAATAAAAATGAAATGAATGAAATGAAACTGTTTAAGGCTTTCAATTGGTATTTTTTCATCATGTGCTTGAAATGATAGACCTGTTTACTATAATTTGAATGTCAGCCATTACACACATATGCATGTGCAATGAAACGTAAAATTGTTATTATTACTATTATTATTATTATTATTATTATTATTATTAGTAGTAGTAGTAGTAGCATTAGTAGTAGTAGAAGTAGTAGTCGTAGTCGTAGTAGTAGTAGTAGCAGTAGTAGTAGTAGTAGTAGTAGTAGTAGTAGTAATAGTAGTACTACTAGTAGTAGCAGAAGTAGTAGTATGGTAGCAATAGTACTAATATTAGTAATAATAGTAATAGTAGGAATATTAGTAATAGTAGGAATATTAGTAATAATTATCAAACTGACCCCAACATTAAAATGGGTACCTTGTCTTCTAAAAAAACTTTATTAGACATCTAAGAAGATCAGGGGTTTTGCAACTGAAATATTTGTTTAACCACCGCACAATATACGATCCGATAGCGATTTGGTTATCGGGGAATTGCATTTGCATTAGGAATATATTTTTAGACAAATAAACTGAGGTTCTCAATAACGATTTTAATACTAAAATATAAATGTTAGTACAAATTAGGTCTTCTGGTCGTGTTAAAGTCCAAATTTGCTTCATATATTCTATAGCTGCACGACTGATTACAGGTCTTACGTCATCATTTGGGCTTTTCATCCTACAAGCAGACTTGCATTATATAGCAATCTAGATTTTACAAAAAATATGACAAAACAGAACCATAAGCGTTACAAGTTTTACAGATTTCCATGTTGATGTTAAATCCTTTGTCAATTCTTCCCAAAACGGATCGTAGACAGATCGTATAGTGTGGACTTGTTATAACAGAGACAATAATAATCTGGAGGTGTTGTGGTACAGTGGCTCATTCACTTGACTTTCAGTTAAAGGGTTAAGGGTTTGAATCTCAGCCCGGCACTTTGGTACTTTTGAAAGTCATTATTCCACATTTTCCACTCTCCATCAAGGTTAAAATGTTAGATCATACATGGCTATAACTGCTGGGTTGGTAATAATTGCAGGGGCCTCAGGTAGAAAAAATTGATGCTCATTCCATTGGTAAACATACTTATAATTAATGTTATTATTATTACTATTATTTTCTTCTTTGCAGCTGACAAGATGTTCATTACTAAAGCTGCACACGCTGTGATTGTTATGGCAGAGGCAATAGACTACAGCTTTGTCAATACATCTTTTATCGAAATTCCACTGAAAGGTGTCGAATTTCCCATTGGTGTTGAATTTGACCCAAGGAGTGAACGGATCTATTGGACTGACGCAAAACTGCACACCGTTAATAGGGCTGCGCTAGATGGATCATCGCAAGAAGTCATTGTTCAATTACAAACTATTTCCGGTGATCATTATTGTAAGTTACCCTATTAAAATCGTAACTCGTAACATTTCTATGCTGCTAAATAAAGATTACATGTATACACATCTCGTTATCATTCTTGTATATCTCTTTAAGTCCGATGCATACAAGGTGCGTGACGTAGGACGGCGACAGTAAATTGCACGGTCTTTGACTTGAGGTATGAGAATAGTATTGTACAAACAATAAATGCAAAACTATGGAATCTTCGAAATCCTGACCATATGACGAACTAATACAGGTCGACAAGACGAGCAGTCAAGATTAAAAGAATTGAGAAGATGGGTTGTTGGAAAAAGGCAAATCGACTTTAATATTACAACGTTATCTCGTCTTCTCGTCTTCAATAAAATCGACTTGCTGAGTCATCTCGTTTTTTTGTCCTAAATTATATCGTCATTTCGTCGGCAGTTTAAAGCTTCCGTAAAAACTTGAACGTGCAAATGTCACATTAAGTTACTTGGTTGCGGTTTTTCCTACATCCGTGATAAGCGAAGTTACTAGCACAACAGGAATCACCCGTCGTGTATAAGGCATGCTCCTTCAAGGTCGGGTGAAATCCAAATATAAGTTAAATCCTGTTGTTGTGCAGGGCTGTATACAACTCATATTTTGTTATTCAAACATCTAAATATATTACATTTTAAACATTTTTTAAATATAATTTTCTCAGACCTGCTAAGAATCACCCTAAAAAAATGCTCCAAATCTCATTCATCTTGTGACATCATCTAACTTAGGAAATAGCGATCATAAAATTCAGCTTCCAAAGCCTAAGGCCGAGTTTTTGAGAAAAAGTTTCTTTTATCATAGCTCCAAATTATTCAATTGTCTCTCTTTTGAAACACGAACCTTAAACACACTGGCTACCTTTGTTCGCACTATTGATTTGAATGAACTCATAGACTGAACATTGTCTTGCCCTTTTTTACAATTTTTACCTTCAATTTGATATCGTCGGCATTATGCCAAATTATACCAATTATTATTCGTCAATCCCCGTCTGTAGAGTCTTTTAAGGCGAGTTTGAAGTATTTCTTGTTTAATATTAATTTATGGGGTTGTTTTTTTTAAGTAAGATTTTTTATTATCTGAAACGTCATTATTAGAATTATGTGTTATTATTGTTGTATATTTATTCTACGTTGTACCTTGTTAAGCGCTTAGAAACATTGTATTAAGCGCTTTATAAATGTAATTTATTATTATTATTATTATTAACTGCTTTTGGCCATTCCGAGATAATCGCTTTTAAAGTTTTGGCCTCTCTTATAATCAAAAGTTTGTGGTCGTTTGTTTGGTTTTGAAGCCAATTTCGATAAATTAGTTTTGTTATTAAGTTTTACATGAAATGTGTTAAATGTAGTATAAAATATTCAGAATTTTACATGCTATGTGCAAAAAACATGTTAGGGCCTTTTTCGCTTAAGGCTTAAATGTAGCGTATTTATGCCAGAAGGGCCGTAACCTACTCGGCATTATGCCAAAAGGGGCGTAACCTTGACGGCGTTATGCCAAAAGGACCTTAACCCTAAAAAGGCCGGGCTATTTGAGGTCTTAGTACGGCCGGGGGGGGGGGGAGCATTATGGCTCCCCCTTAAGATCTCGGCCGCAAAGCGGGCGATCGCCGCGAAAATTTGTACGCATGTCAAGTGAAGTGTATAGAATAATATGATAATTTCAATTTTTTGAAAAATTCACTTATTTGCATATTTATGGTAATTTATGCAAATAAAGTCATAAAGTCACATTTTTACCCATAAATCATATATTTTTCATATTTAAGCATTCTTTTTCACTACGTATATTCATTAGACCATTTTGAATAATAATACAACAAACAAATATGGAAGAGCTAGCTTATTCCTTATGTTTTTCCTTGTTTTGATAATTTCTTATGTATTTCATTGTTTTTTAAACTTATGTATTTCATTGTTTTTGTTGTTTTATTTCATTTCTTACTACAATTCATCTATTTTGACTCCCATAACAACCACCTAAACTTTAAACAAGACCCAATAATCCATGTTTGATCTGTTTTTAGGAAAAATGACTTTTCCTTATGTTTTGTACACAAATCACGAAAATGAGCGATTTTCGGGCTGACATTCAAAGACAAAAGTTCACGTGACCTTGTAACCGTAGGTCCGATTTTCAAAAACAATCTTTTAAAAGTTTTGCAAGACTCGAAAGAAAAAAGTCAGCGAGCGGCGACGCGCCATCCATATGCGTTCCTGAGCAATCGAAAAAATCGTGGAGGGGAGGGGGGTGGCATAATGCCCCCGGCTTATTATCGTACGCGCGCATAGTAAGCGCCCTTCTGGCATAAAGAAATTTTCGTGTTTTGCAACACCTTTGGTTTGCCAGAAAGCCCCTCCTACGGCTACTTGATCACGAAAACTGATAAAACTGATTAATTAAAATGTTAGACAAAGTATTTTTGATATCTGAATATTTTTATTAATATAATGCAGCTTTGGGTAAAGTTATTTCTAGAGATCGTACATTTAGGACACCTTTTTCGTTGTTTATTTTCATCACAGTCCCATACGTTGACATCTGCGTATTTTAACGAGTCGGTCGCATTTCATGCATTCACACTTGATTTAAATCTCACTCAGATTTCATGATCTAAATTCATGACATATACTTTTAGTGATTATTTTAAGTACATTTTGTCTTTTGTGGACTAATTATGTTTTTAATGGTGTTTCTACTGATATTTATTGAATTAAATGGAAATTACGAAGTAATCTGTCATTGAAAAAAGATTCGCCGTGTAGGTTAAGGCCCTTTTGGCGTAAGGAAAAAGATGAGATACGCGTCAAAGGCCCGGTCACACAGAGGGGGCGCATGGGGGACGCACGGCCAGCGCATTGGAAATTTGCAATTTGGGCCAGTGCGTTGTCGTTTGCTAGGCGTGTGTCATCATTAAATACTCGTTCGCCGAGCGCGCTGGACCCACGCTATGCATTCGTCGTCATTCGCCGTGTGCGTCGGGATTTTTTGGGCATGCTCAAAAGTGTGCGCGGAGATCGACGCATGAATGTACACGCCAAAGGCACGCCAGACATGCGTGGAGCGCGCTAGACCAGCGCCAGACATACGCGGAGCACACGCCCTGTATACGCACAGCGCGCTAGCTACACGCTGTGCATTTTGTGTCAGCTCGCTAGCTTTTCCAAAATTATGACAAAAGTTAGGCACACGTCCTTTTCCGATTTCCAATGCGCTGGCCGTGCGTCGTAGAACGCGGTGCATGCGTGGACCATTCGTCCAGCGCGCTAGCAACACGCTGTGCATTTGTGGAAGTTGTTATCATGAGCGCTCTGTGTACGGTCTGTATGCGCTCAGCGCGCTAGCAACACGCTATGCATTTGGTGTCAGCTCGCTGTAGCTACGACAAAAGTTGGACGCACGACAACGCACTGGCCAAAACTGCAAATTTCCAATGCGCTGACCGTGCGTTCCTCATGCGTCCCCTCTATGTGACCGGGCCTTAAGGCCCTTTTGAAATTCATAATTATCTTCATAAATAAATTGAATTTCAACAAGTGAAGCACATCATTTTAAAGAGAATGTTGGAAACTACAAGGTGATGTTAATAACTCAATAACCCCCAAAATCGGGTTAAGGCCCTTTTGGCATAAGGCCGACGATATTCTCTTTATAGTTATGTTATAATTTTTATTTTTTAATACTTTTAAACGTGATGAGTATTATACCCATCCTCTTATTCATGTCCTGTTTTTTTTTCTTCTTGTTTTTCTCTTATGTTTACCTTGATGGGTTTTTTTGTGTTATGTTATCGGTTTTACAGTTTTACTCGTATGCTTGTTGTCGTTCTAGTTGAATATCTGCAATTAACTGTCTTATTGTTTGTTTGTTTTGTACATTAATTTGTTAGATATTTATTTGTTGAAACTACATGTACATATCCATTGCCTTACTTCTTGCATTTGCAACGGTTTACATATTATTGTATAATTTACTGTATACTTATTGTTATTTTTATGTTTGTTGACCCCTTTGAAAATCAGCTGTGCTGAAGGGGCCATCCACCCTATGAGAGGAAATAAATCTGTCAATCATTAGTGAGCTAACAAGAGACAGTGGTATGGAACTTCCCCCAGCTCAGCACATGCTCACAAAAGAATGGCATTCTTTCATACAATAGCTCCACATTATCTTTCTTTTCCTGGTGATGCTACAGCACGTCTGACATATCAACACCTATGTTGGTATTGTATTGTCTATTGTAAGCAGGTGGTCAGCTCCGGTAAAGCTACGTACCACTGTCTCTTGTTAGCTCACTAATTATTGACAAATGATGTCACGGGATGAATGAGATCTGGAGCATTTTTTGAAGGGTGGAGCTTAGCAGGTCTGAGTTTGTTTGTTTTTTATATTAAAAAATCTATGAAATATATAAATCTGGAATTTTCACCCCACAGTTATTTTTTACCTTTTTAGATCCTTATGGAATAGCCCTTAATCTCGACGACGACAAGGTATATTGGATAGACCAATATCGTGACGTTATTGGGATTGCAAACCTTGATGGGACCAGTAAGAGGGATCTACTCACAACAGACTATAATTCTAATCTAATTGCAATCGTGTACTCAACTTTTCGAAGGTATTGTATTAATACAGAATTTCATAAATGGTTTCCGTCCAAAAAATTCAGTTTTTATAGAATTATACTTGCAGATTTTCGCCTTTTATTGATCCAATTTTCAATCTCGCGTTAATGTACAGATCAGTTCGCAAAAGTCCCCTTTCCAAACCATAGTCTGCATTGCTAATATTCAAATATATGTGTACATGTACACATTTATCATGTTAAATGACAGTCAACTTCTGAGCGTACAGTAGACACTTCTCGAAAATATTTATGGCCTTCAAATGTCATTTTCATATTAATTTGTCCTCTGATAAAATTGGGATAATAATTTTATTTTATTTAAAAAGTTGTATTGAAATATATGTAGTGCAATCATCACAATCATCATTATCACCATCATCATCAGCAGCAGTAGCAGAACCTTATCTTCATTAACGATATTGCATAATAACATGGCATTATAGAAGATGCAGATTAACGATCATAAATAAATTAACTTAAGGGAATTTTTTGTGTGTTGTCGGTAGAAATTGAGTTAGGATTATTCAATAGTTGTTTGCTCACACATTAATCGCACAAGAATATCGAAATGGCCAAGCTATTAGGGAGATTTTTTTCTTGTTTATAATCTTTGCCATAGTGTTAACATATTCTTATATTACGTTGTGGAGCAAATTATGAGGCGCTTTCTAACCGCAAGAAAAGGTACTATTTAATTAATTTGTCTATTAAATAGGATTAGATTGGATAGTCTCTTGTTTTGAAACAATTATAACTCGTTCATATTCTCCTCTGTTTATACATGTCTACGATTTAGGAAAATCTTTTGGACAAATAGAGGACAGTTCCCGAAAATTGAAATGGCTAATGCGGACGGGACAGAACGAGTGACGCTTCTCGATGGTGATGTGGATTCTAATTTCACGCATCCGACTGGAATATGCCTTGATGCTACCGGTATACATTTTGAAAGAATGTTGCTTTTGCAAATATGTAGTGTGACCAAACGTATTCTGCCGGTTGTACAAAACTTGCCCTTGTACTCGGGACTCAATACTATATTTAACCAAAATCCTAAACCTAACCCAATACTCAATGTCAACACTTGTCATAACTCGTTACTGATCTTTGACGCAATAAAGCCCTGAGCAATTGTCGCAGGAGATAATGATGGGTCACCATCCTCCGACCACAGTTAATATGTGCTTTATTTTGTTAAATATATAGGGTAAGCCTGACTAGGGTGGCCATCGGAATTTAGGTTAGGTTTAGATTTGCTTTGGGCTAGGGTTAAGTTCAGGTACACTATTGGATCCAGATTGGAAATCAGGAAATCAGTTAGTATAAGACAGGGAAGGAATTACCATATCACCGGAGCATAGCTTGAATAAACCTCCCAGTAAAGTAAGAATTTATACATCAATTTCATTTATTTATTTATTTATTTCGTTTTATTTTAACAGGGTAGCCCCATCAGTAGTTAAAAAACTGTTTTACTTCGGGGCCCTGCATAACATAAAATTAAATATAAAGACATACACATACATGAAAACATCATTACATGGTGAATAGTATACATTTTATATCAGAAAGAATACAGATTAAATTTCAAATGCAAATGTAAACTCAGGAAGTAAAAAAATAAAAGAATCCAAAAAATCAAGTCATCAAAAAAACATACATAAACAAGTTTTGAAAACAAATCCTTATATCGTAGTGACAGTGTTTTTAAACATAATTATACATTATTTGTTTAGCTTGAAGGATAATTGTGAGAAATACAGTAATCTGTAATTATTAAGTACTAAAATTCAAGTTTGTGATAGAGGCTCCTTATTTGCGTGTACTATGTTTTGGGTATTATTTACATTTTTCTCAAATAACTTGTGCAAAAGGACTGCTTTGTTTGGCATTTCGTACCTCACTAGGGAGGTTGTTCAAGATCACTGCACCTTCAACAGAAAAGGCCCTTCTACCATTTTCAGTTTTAACTTTGGGGATGACTAATCCACGAGTTTCAGCGATTTTAGTGCTATAACGATGTGTTGTTGCAGACTGAGTAAACATATCTTGGAGATAGGGGGGGGGGGGGATTACCGTTTACAATATCGAACATGAGTTTACATTTCTGGAATCGCCAACGTTTTCCATGTTCATCCATTTGAGTTTTGAGAACATTTCTGAACTCGGGTTAAGTACATTCATTTGGAGAACAATCCTAGCCATCTGCTTATGCAACTTAATCAGTGTATCCCGAAGACCTTGATTACCATTTGACCATGAGGTGCAACAATAATCAAAATATGGTAATACCAGTGCATTTGCTAATAACTTGGCACTGTCTATCGTTAGATATTTTCTGACACGTCTCAACAGTGCCAACCTTGAAGCAATTTTGCTGAAAGTATGCTTAATGCGTTCATTCCAGTTAAGTTGCTGGTCCAACCTCACTTCAAGATATTTCACATTTTCCACATGTCTAATTTGCAGACCATCTATCTTTATGTCGATTGGTATCTCGATATGTCGTAGTTTTTGGGGTGTCCCGAGAAGTAAGAAGTTGGTCTTGTCCGCATTAAGGGATAGTTTATTTGGTAAAGCCATGATTTAACTCTGTGTAGATCACTGTTCAATGTACTCTCTGTGTCCTTTGGGGGTTTAAGGCAATGAATATAATCGCCGTTTCATCGGCATACAACATTACCATACTACACTGTCGCTCATAAAGGTGGAATATTTTTTGTTTACCCCATTTAATGAAATTATTTTAAAAATAATTTTAAAATAATAGATCTAGATAATTGTATACATTCTCAGATTTTATTAAATACTAATTTGCCAATGTGTGTTTTGCGTGACTGCTGAAGCATGTGCATGCTACAATGCTTATCAACTAGGGGACCTACGCTCTTAAGTCATAAATGACAGTAATGAGGATAACTGCCCCGCAAAAGGGCACTAATATAGCACATCGACACGGTTTTGATCCTGGGGCCTCTCGGTTACGAGGCTATTGCTTTGTCACTGAACCATGACTGTACGCAGCGGGGACTAGAGTAGGGGGCAGTTTTCATTAATATAAAAAAACACAGAAAATGCAATAAATTTTCAATAATTTATTGCATTTTTACATTTTATGTAGGTCATTTCCCCGACGTGTCGCAACCCCGCGTCGGCAGGATTTACCGTCATTAATTATACCCACACAGTCACGACACAAAGTTATAGGCCAATGCAAAAATATTGAAATTAAATCTTCCTATATTCTATTTTGTGTCCCTTTTCAATTGCCTTTAGCCTTTTCTTTTCTCTTTTCTTGACCTTTTCTTTTCCATGTTTTCTTGTCATTTTCTTTTCTTTTCTTTTCCTTTCTTCCTATCTTTTGTTCGCTGCAAAAGGGAGCATTTATCTTTTACGGGGCACTCCTGCTATGTCGGCGGAGCATTTGTCTTCAACGGGGTACTTTGGGGGAAGGAGCAATGTTAGAGCATTTGAATTTTACAGGGAACTTTTTGGGAGGAGCTGTTCGGAGGAGCAATATTGTCGGTGGAGCAATTGTCGGCGGAGCAATTGTCGGCGGAGCAAATGTCGGCGGAGCAAATCTCGTCGGAGCAATTGTTGGCGGAGCAATTGTCGGCGGAGCAACTGTCGGCGGAGCATTTGACGTCGGAGCAAATGACGCGGAGCAATTGTCGCTTTTTGCGGAGCATTTGTCGGCGGAGCAATCGTCCGCGGAGCATGTGTCATGGATTCAAAACAGGCACTAGAATTGCTGTAATAGGGGATGGGCATACCATGGTATCTTGATGGGTATCTCATTGTGATGGATGCCCTAGCTCTTCCATTCACCATTAATAGGATTAAGCGATTGATGGTATTCATCTTTTCCAATCAAAGGGATAGTTACCAGGGCCACAATGAAGTAGAATGACCAGAGCATAATTCCTTCCATTGTTGTTGAGACAGGTAACTACTGCTGCACGTAATAGGTTGGACAGCTATGCACAATGTCGTTGACCATGACTTAGGCAGCTGTAATATGGTACCTCAAGTCCAGTACCATGCAAAGGAATTTTTTCCAAAGATTTGACTGTTGGTCACCTGACGAAAAATGACTGATGTCCTCTCAAAATAGTCTAGCTGAGACAGCAAATCCCAATCATTCATCTGGTTAGTCTACAAGACACTTACACGGAACTTTACGGTACTTTACAATATGAAAACGAGAGAAAAATATTTCTGTGCAATTGAAGCTAATACTACAAACCTGTACAAAATATTCTTGTTTACAATCAGTGTATCCCAAATGATCGATTGGTGACGTACATTTGAAGGAACTTTGCAATGGGTATACATAATTCCCCAAGGGTTACATTACTCCTGAAACCTTTCAAATATCATTATAACTAATTGGACGTGTGTAAAAACCGCAGGATCATGAATGGGCAAACACATATAACTGAATAAGGAATTCTATATAATGAACACCTAAAAGTTGTTGTCCTTATTCCTTTAATCTTTCATCAGAACAAATACTCTACTGGACTGATACAACGGAGAACACAATTGAACATCTGGATCTAGATGATAGACAGCGCGCTACATCACTTAAATTTGTGTCCGATGGTCACCCTTTTGGGATCGCAAAGTATTTTGAGGATATCTACTTTTCTGACCACCTGTACAACGGAGTCTACGCCATCGATTTTCCGGCCGGAAACGTAGCTCTTGTAGACATGCGGGTTTCTTTCGTAGCAGAGATTCACATTTACGCAGGTAATCATGATTAAGTATAATGTTTATGGTCGAGAGTGCAAACTTTCACTAAACTAATATAAAAAAAATTCGTACGATTTTGTTGTTGAAAAGGGGGAGAAGTGCGTTTTCATTCTTTAATATAAGATATTTGTTGAAAGCGAGAAATTCCACTTCATACGTCAAGGGGATACATCCACAATTTTCCGATAGACAAAATGATAACTCAAGAGTGAACAGTAGCGTCACCGCACATTGTACTAAATTTGCTGAAACAGCAGACTCTAAGTTAGAGTCTGGTGGGGCGATCGAGTGCTTCACTGCCATTCAGAATGACTAAATGATGACACAAGATGCGATACAACCTAAAACCAACACAGACAAACCCAAACAAAATACGTCACATCAAGGAGGTACCGTCTGAGAGAAGGAGGCAGCGGGTGGAGAATTTAGGTCGCCAAATTGGACTGATATTCTTAAGGCCTATGAAGCAGCAACAAGGAAAGCCATGAAAATCCATGTACAACCCTCCCAAAAGACGCCATCTGTAGCACATTTTACACTTTAAATTGACGAAAAATGCCCTCCTTTATGAAGATAGTTTGCAAAGCTGGCTAATCCAATCTGTTTGATTTTTCTATTGCAAATTAAATTTACCTTGCTTGTGCTTCCTTTTCAAAAGTTATTTTATTAATCATTCTGCTAAATGACGGATTCATGCTTGGAAAGTGACCATTTTTTTCAATTTTTCGGAAAAGTTTTTTTAATGTGATTTTACGGTAAATTCATCGATGTATAAACCAAATAACACACCTTTCTTGAGAGCAATACATTTGTCAGAAAATATCTTCGTATGTCCACTTTCAATTCAAGATTTCAAAAGTGTGGAATATAATATACTGTCCATGCACTCATGTCTCTTACATACGACCACTTTTTTAGATAGAAAAGTCCTCGAAATAAATTTTTACAACTAAATTTTGAAAGCAACAAAAGGGGTGACCTTATATATTTCTAATCAATGAATATTTGTTTGATTAATCAAACAATTGAGGCGAATAGGAGACCTTATAGTACAATTTTTCATGTAATATTGTTTAAACTGTTCATTAAGATTGATATAGTATTGAATGCTACACGCATAGCTATTTCAGGCTGCCTACAGCCAACAAGAGTAAATGAATCTTGGGCCCCTTTTCACAAAACTTTTAATCAGTTACAAACGAGAGTTTTTGTTATAAGCTAGTGAAATCTTTACTTCTGATTGATTATCAGCAGATTTACTAATGATTTTTGTAATTTTCCATTGAAAAAAAGGCATTGTGAAACGGTTCCTTGTACTTGTTGTGTTGTATTGCCCCATCACATACCAGACGAGAGGTTTCATCGGAGTTAGATATAACTAAGCAAGATGACAACCCTCTTTACCCCCTTTATGGGCATGGACACGCAAAACAGAGACTCAAATCAAGACACAGTTTTATCCACTCTACTAACCATTGATAACTCCGCCAACAATTGAAGGATGACCATATGGACCAATTTTCATTAGTCAGTACTGCACAAGCTGTCATTCGGACCAAGCGAATCTTTGCCACCAGGTTCAAGTGAAGCATGGCCCACCTGGTCCTGTCTATTTAAAGTCGCCGGCGGACTAGAACGGTATGATGCAAAGTCATCAGGCATACATTGGGCTTTTGTGAAGATAGATGAACTAGGTGCGGCTCTGGGAAGGTACATAATGATGAAACACCGTTTAGTCTATGCCCCTCCTCCCAGAAGACTGTAACCCAGAATACCTATGTGGTTTAAGCGTTAAGGCCAGATCATGCATCCTCAACTGGATCGGCCTTTTGAAGTAACACAAGAAGAAGAAGTTGAAATTATTAAAGTTTACTAAAGTTATATGTTCCTACTCGCAGATACGTCTTGTCCAGGAGGAAACTTTTGTGCATCCACTGGGACATGCGTTATTAACCGACGTCAACCGGATGTTACCTTTCGGTGTATTTGTGACGAAGGATATAACGGAAACAACTGTGAATCAAGTAAGAAAAGTATGATAGTAAACTATTTATGAAGAGCCATTGTTTCCCATTGACTTGCCTAGATGTCTTTCAGAACGACGATTTTACTGTTGTTACATCACGTGTCACGGGGCGACAACAAAGCGAGCGGAAATTACAAAAAGTTACGAATTTAAAGCGCTCGATACTAAGCAGGTAAACCAATCAAAAGCACGGTGAGTGAAAATTATGCTGTTTTAAACCATGTCAAGCACAATGTAGGGAAAAAGCATTATTCCTACATTTAAGGCAGTTACCAAACTGATCAAATGTGATAGGCATGTTAGGGGAGAAGAAAATATTTGTTTTGCCTTTTCAATGGTACTATGCAAAGTTTGTTCTATTACGGCGAAATTTAACAAATTATGAACAAAAATGTCATTTGATATCTTTTTGGATTAACGGTTATGAATAAAATATACTGAAAAACAAAAACGGTGTACCAATTATACAGAAACATTAAGTGTGGTGTCCCCACTTTTACTAATGATAATAATAGGCAATTATATGGCGCCGTTTATGTTAACAATTCTATTCCGAGGTCACAAATTAATTATTACCCTGGCTTTAGCCTAACTGCTCTAGAATTTCAAGGAATTATTTCATGCCAGGTACCCATTTATCTCACCTGGGTCGAGTGTGGCAAATGTAGATTAATGCCTTGCAAAAGGACATTAGTGCCGTGTCGGGGATCGAACCACGACCTTCGAATTTCAAGTCAAGTGCTCAAACCTCTCTCCTACGACACCCTTAAAGACGGAAAAGAGGAGGTTAGGGCATCATAATCAAAGTCCGACTTTTGCCATAATTTCAATGAACCTTCATAAACAAGCTATGCATTCCAGTAGGTTTCTGGAATTTGTCAACTATTTTCTTTATTGTGCAAACAATTGATATGAAATGGAATAAATTCGAATCAATCAATCAAAACTAATGTTTAGTTGAAAAATAAGTCCTTTTAGATGACAATTGAACTACTTTTTAATATGAAATTACTTCAAATACAATGTATTATTGTGTATTAGTTCCCTTCCATTATGCCCTTTTCGCGTCTTTCCAAGTTATTGTCATCAATCTTTTTATGAACAATAATTACAGATATCACCGACTAACTTCCTAGATTTGATGTCTTATGTCTTTTAAGAGGTAAAATGCTTTAAAAAAACACACAATAGTCTGTTATATCATCTTCAACATCAAGCATTTCAATACTTTACACATTTACTCTAGCTAACATAAGCTCTAGCTAACAAGTGAATATCTGGATGCAAATTATGAGAATGATTTACTATAAAGTAAACAAAGATAATTGTCCAAATAAGTTTTTGCCAGAATCCAACTGTTCTTTAGCACAATCAAACCACGACATAAATTCATTTATAGTTATTTTCATAAGTAAATTCTTAACCTTTAACAGTTGTACTATTGTTTAATCAGTTGTTCCGCCTTAAATTGCAGATATCAACGATTGTGATCCAGAACTTTGCATGAATGGAGGAATTTGTACAGATGGAATAAACTCCTTTACTTGTGATTGTGTTGCTGGTTATACCGACAGTACCTGCTCTACAGGTTAAATATATAAATATATTTTGATTCTGATTTCCTTTAAAAATGTGTACCTTCTTGCCAAATATATTTATGTGATCTATATTTATTTGTCTCAAATATAGTTTCTTTGTAATATTATTTTACCAAGTTATCAATTTGTTTTGAATGTTACACAATCTAATTAGCGTTGCATATTGATTACTTGTGTGATGGATTAAAAACAAGTTACAATGTACTTCAGAAACGAGTCAGAAAGCAGATCCATGATTATTGTTCGAAATCTCGAGCAATGTACACACTTCATCACCCGGCAAGGATAAAAATGCAATGAATCGCAGACTGAGACAACTGATTAAAAAGTATTTGCCTTTGGAATTGTAATGCTCACGGTTATCATGTTAAACATACATCATAATTAACACATTTTACAAGCATGAGGATATCATTTTAAATTTATAGGAAATTTTCGACGTCAAGCATTACAATGGATTGTGCATTTATTGTAGCTTATCATTACATATCTAGGAGCAAATGAAAATGGTTAGAAACGAAAGAAATTGTGCATATTATAAATAAGTTTTTGCCAAAATCCGAATTGTTCGTTAGCAGAACCGAACCACGACATGTGAGCATTTTTGTTGTTGTTGTAATAAGTTAAGTCTTTATTTATAATTACTATATATTTTTTTTTAACAGCTCTTTTTGTGGACGAAAAATACAAGAAGGTTGGAATGTCAAACGGGGAAAATGTATCAATAAAATATATACCATAATTGTCCTAGTTCTTTGGTTTATGGTACTATTGTTTAATCTGTTGTTCCGCCTTAAATTACAGATATCGACGATTGTGATCCAGATCCTTGCATGAATGGAGGAACTTGTACAGATGGAATAAACTCCTTTACTTGTGATTGTGTTGCTGGTTATACCGACAGTACCTGCTCTTCAGGTAAATTATACAAACATATTTTGATTCTAATCCCCCTTTTACAATTTTTCCCTTTTTCTCGAATTTATTCAGGTAATCTATATTTATTTGTTTAAAACATTGTTTATTTCTAATGTTATACTACAAAGGTGTCAATTTATATTGAATGTGCCAAAATCTAATAACCGTCAAATATTGAATACTTCCGTGATGGATTAAAAACACGTTACAATGTACTTCGGAACCGACACCAAGAACAAATTCATGATTATTGTTCAAAACTTCGGGCAATGTACACAGTTTAACAACGGGCAAGCTTAAAATTGCAAAGTATCGCAGACTGAGACTAATTAAAAAGTACGTGCCATTGCTATTGTAATGCTCGAGGTCATCAAACAGACATTATACTTCATATTTCTTACAAGCATGCGGATATAATTTTGAACTTTAAGGACATCTAAACTCAAGCATTACAATGTATTGGGCATTTATTCTAGCTAATTATTAAATGTCTTGAAGCAATTGGGAATGGTTTATTATTTAATAAACGAAGATAATTGTGCATACTATCGATATAGCCACAATCAAGGTTCGGAACCATGTGCACTTGGGTCTAAAAATGAAGTATGCAATAGAGCAGTTTCATCAACCCCAAATTGTTCATCCATACCCAAGGGTTAATACCCTCCAATATCCTGGAGAAAACTATCTTGGTTATAATTTTATGAACATCAATACAACAGGGGTGGTAGGTGTTACGGACACTAAACTAAGCTACTGGAATGGAATTTTCAAGCATTATTTACCTTAACACACAAATATTTTGCACTTTTTGGGGGAATTTCTTGGCCATTTGTGAAAAATTAAACAATTCACACTCACTTCAGTCCATTAATTAGATTCAGTATACACATCAGAGGTAACACAAGGTCAAGTATCATAAATGCCATTATTTTCAAAACCTGAAACTGTTTAAAAAGCCAACCAAACATTGGTAAATGAAACAAATTCCAAAATTAAGTCCCATATGTATACATATAAAAACAAATCAATTTGTTAGGAAGGGTCATTTCCTATAGGATGTTCCGGATACTACATTTTATACATATAGTATACATGCTATTCTTTGATACTTTTGATTTTTGATTTTGTTTCTGCCATCATTTTTGTTGATGCATATCTTGAGGCCAAGAGAGAGTATGTTTTCAAATCCGCCTTACCAAGTCTCTCGGATAGGACTTAAAGGGAAGTTCTCCCTTTCAATAGAAGCAGACAAATCTGACAAACAGAAAATATATTTGTTCTATGTAGTTCCAGGGGTGGCCCCATTTTGGGTAATTTTTTATTCTTCTCCATCTGCTTTGTTCACGTTTAAACATTGAAAGAAGCCTAATTTAGTCATAAGAGCATGAAAAAAGCATAGCTATTTAGACAATAGAGGAAGATGAAAGAAAACATGAAACAAAAAATATATATATATATGATATAATGAGGAAAATCATGAAGAAAGAAGGAAGAGGAGAATAAAAAGGATAACAACTTTAAAAAGACAAAGAAGAATAAAGAAAAGGATAAGAATTAGAAGTAAGGAAAAGGAAGAACAATAAAATAGCATAATCGAGGCATGGAAACCCTATATATTTGAAAATACGAAAAGACGATGTATTTCATTATTTTGAGAAGTAACTCTGAAAAGATTAATGTATCTCATAGGACCTTACACGATACGCTCAGTGAGACCAGAACATAATATGTTTGGGAAAGAAAGTTTCCATGGTGTCCTCGTATCATATGTGCTGTAGGATATATTCAGTATTTTTTAGAACCCATTTTTTTTAGGAAATTGTTAAGATAGTGTTGGAAAATTTTGGGTCATAAAAAGACCACAGTCTGTACTTTATGAAGAGTATTTCGACTGGCACAGTGATATACTTGTACAACCTTAGACAGTGTACGCCGTAAAACAGAAACAAAGTAATAAAAAAGAAGAATTGATAATACATCTATTTGCAAAATTGTGGTAAAATAAAAAATCATTTGTGATACGTTTATTCAATAATCCTCAGATGTTCGGTGATCGTTGATTGTGGCAATTAAACCATTAGTCATAAAATCCTTGGATATATATACAAATGTCGGTAAACAAGTCGAAAGCGACCTCAGTCTAATTTTTCTTTCTCTCTCTCTCTCTCCATTAAAAAGTCAGCTTAATTTATCTAGAGATATTGTGAGCAAAAATGTAGACGATGAGATATTTCATAATTTATATGTAAATCCCCTCAAGGGGATGTCCTCAAAAGAATGTATATTTCCATAGTCCTCAGGAGACACTAGTCATACACGCACTGATGCGTGCGCATGTGTATATATGTGTATGGACATAAACCTCAATGTAGTGACTTTTTTAGGTAGGCAATTAAATGATTAAAATAATGTATTTTCTCATCCATCACACATATTCGATGTCATAGACAGCTTTTACAGTGTTAACATTTCTTTTAGAACACTGTTATCCAGAAAAGGAGGTACAGTTTGGTTTACAGGCCTTCATATTACTCCTTCTGTAGTTTCCGTAACACTGGCTTCTACTCTTTTCTACCCTCGATATGAAACTAAAACACGATGATGCATTTTAGTTTATACTTTTTTTTTAACATCTTACTAATATTGTTGAAATAAAATATTGATATCAAATTACTCGTAAGGCAATTTTGTTTTTAACTTTTGAATTAAATTCATGGAAAATAGCTTATTTTTTTGGATAATATGCAGGAGAAAACCTTCAGGGAAAGAGAATTTGTTTCATTCATTAATAAGATCAACTGTATCAAATCAAATTTAAATTATAAATTAGTAATATTTAGATATCACGCTGTATTTTTACACCATCACACACTTGTGTCACGGACACTACACACGTTACGGACACTACACACGCCATTTATTAAATTGCACAAAAAACTGTTATGCTTAGCTGAACTTTATTATACCACAGCTAGTCCCCGGGGGTAGTTACAAGAAGCAAAGTATATAAGAACTTTGAAAACATTTTCATAAATCAGGAATGACACCGTTACGGACACTACAGGAAATTCCGGACAAAATTTATGATCGGAATGTGGGTATATATGTTTGTAAAGTTTGTATCTATGTTTGATTTTTTTGTTTCTGATGATAGGACAACATGTTACTCAGAAAACATAACTAATTACCAATTAATATAATGCTAAGAAATATGAATTAAAGAGGCAAAATTGTACTCAAAAATTATTTTTCAGAAAAGCGTTACGCTTGTCTCTCTTCACAAAAATGACCACTGTATCGCAATTCTTGGGTTAATTCTCAAGCCGTAAAAAAAAAATACTGAGTGGAGATAACAGGACTACGTGATAGCATGGGAAGATATGGCATATCTTGTGTAATTCCATAGTAATTATGGGGCTTTCACATATACACTCCGGGGCCCGTACGGCGAGTAAAAACAGACATTTTGGGAATTTTCGGCCGGTATCCGGCCGGTTGCCGTAAAGTTCTTACGGGCGCCGGGACAGTTTTGTAAGCCTTACGGGCGCCGTGGTGCTGAGTTGGCTGCTCCCAATTCTCCCGGCGTTTTTATCTGACCGTTAGGCCGTAGAAAGCCCGTAAAGGACCCGTAGGGCACCTTACGGGTCCCTTGCGGGCCCCTCACGATTTTGGGGGTCAATTCTTATGAGAAATCGTTACGGGCGCCTTGCGGTGCTCAAGGGTTCCGTTCGTGTACCCTACGGCGCCCTCACGGCCCCTCAAGAGCCCCGGGTGATATGCACAACAACAGGCGTTTGCCGTCTGGGGGCCATTTAAAATGAATATTACCCGAGCGGGTCCCTGACGGCGGCATCTCGAAATGTACAACGCAGTTTTGAATACAGGAGGTGCTGATACTAGAGGACACATACAGAGTGAGTCAGAAAAAATGTCCCACTTTTTAAAAGTTGTATTGTTTGAAGTATGAATATTAAATCATGAGTTTCATGATATGTCTTGATAGAGTTATCCTCCCAGTACATTTAGGTACCATTTCCATTTGAATCTCTGCATGCATGACTGAACATCAGACAATCTTTACAAGACTGCCGAATCTCACTTGCGCCAAGTTGCTAGGTGAGGAATAAAATAATGTTGTGAACAAAGACAGTCATTTTTTTTCAATTATCCAATTAACCAGACAGACAAAAACACACGCACACACGCACACACACACATTCACGTACACACATACACAATTGCACACGCACACAAATGAGCATTCCATTCCCGACAAGGCCCACACAAATTGTTACTTTTTGTCGGGAATTCTTCTTATCGTACGAAAAGTTGAGTGGCCGCCGTCCTCTTGGTGCGTATTGGCGGATGTTGTGCTTCATGATGATTATGATGATGATGATGATGATGATGATAATGATGATGATGATGAAGATTAAGATGATGATGATGATGATGACATGATGGTGGTAGTGAATGTGTACAAAAGGGAAAGATTTTTAGGGTTATGCCACTTAAACATTCAGCGATCTTGATAAAAATCAATGCTCAATCAGAAAAGGGGGTAATTATGAAACAATTGTCACTGTGTGTGTTGTGTGTGTTGTGTGTGTGTCTGTGCGTATGCGTGTGTGGGTGTGTATGTGTGTGCGCGTGTCTGACTGTTTTTGATCAATGCACTGTTTTATTCCTCACCCAGTAATTTGGCGCAAGTGAGATCTGGCAGTCTTGTGAAGATTGTCTGATATTCAGTGATGCATGCAGAGATTCAAATGAAAATGGTATCTAAATGTACTAGAAGGATAACTTTAGATATATATCAAGATATATCATGAAACCCATGATTAAATATTCATACTTCAAACAATACAACTTTTTTAAAAGTGGGACATTTTTTTCTGACTCACTCTGTAGTTCAGTCCACCGCACGGCACCCGTCCGGGCGCCTTGAGGACCCCGGCCGGGCCCCGGTAGGGCACCTTCCGGGGGCCATCGGTACACCTGCTCATCGGACGGAGCCGGCCGGCACTCGGCCGGCACCCTTACGGACGCCTTGCATTTCACTCGACTAATTTTCTCCTGGCACCTCCCGGGCGCCGCAGAATATGTGACAACACATGCCGTAGAAATGAAAATCGGACGGTTCCCGTACGGTCTCTAAATCCACTGCAAGCTGCCGGGTAGGGAAATCGTACGGGGCCCGGTTTATATGTGACCTAGGCATAACACCTAATGAAAAAATACACATTTTCGAAGTGCAAATGACTAACAGCCAAAAAGTGGTATTTTGGGCCCTCTATTTAATACCATTCTCACACAGCCAACACAAATGAAATTCAAACAAAAGTTGTTGCCTGATGAAGAACTCATATGGCCCAACATTTCAGGCGAAAAGACATTTGATAAGATGACACTGTTTTTCCAAGAGAGATGCGTAACACTGTACGTAGAATGGTTGCACCCTGACTGTGGCTATACCGTATAGGTTGTTGCCAGAATCCAACATATTCTTTAGCAGAACCAATCCCCGACATGTAAGCATGTTTTCGTTGTAATAAGTAAAGTCTTTATTTTTAATTAGTAAATTTGCGTTTTAACACCTTTTAGTTTAAAGGAAAAAATGCATGAAAGTTGAAATATTAACTTGGGAAATATATCAAAACAATATCTTCTATAATTGTTCTAGTTACTCCTTTTGCTATAATTGTACTATTGTTTAATCTTTTATTCCGCCTTGAATTACAGATATCAATAATTGTGATCCAGATCCATGCATGAATGGAGGAATTTGTACAGATGGAATAAACGCTTTTACCTGTGATTGTGTTGCTGGTTATACCGAAAGTACCTGTTCTACAGGTAAACTATACAAACATATCGTCGCTGTTTTCACGAAGTGACGGTAGTGAAAAAAAATTGCATTCACTTTGCGTTACGATTTTCCTCACTACCGTCACTTCGTGAAAACAAGAACGAGTTTTGATTCTGATTCCCTTAAAAAAAATATGCCTACTCGTCAACTATATCTATGTGATCTATAATTATTTGTTAAAACATTGTTTATTTCTAATGTTATACTACCAGGGTATCAATCTATATTGAATGTGCCAAAATCTAATAAGTGTCAAATATCGAATACTTGTGTGATGTATTGAAATCGCGTAACTATGCACTTCGAAACCAAAGAGTAAATTCATGATTATTGTTCGAAACCTCGAGCAATGTACACAATTTAGCACCGGGCAAGCTTAAACATGCAGACATTGAGACAACTGATAAAAAACTACGTGCCCTTGTCATTGTAATGCTCCCTGTTATCAAATAACAGAAATTATACTTGATATATTTTACAAGCATGAGGATGTGATTTATATTTTTAAGACATATTTTACGTGAAGCATTATAATTATTGCGCATTTATTGTAACTAATTATCAAATGTCTTGAAGCAAATGGGAATGGTTTATTATGAAATAAATGCGAACTCAATTTAATTATGTAGTAAACAAAGATAATTGTGCATAAAGGTTTTTGCCAAAATCAAACCAGTTAATTAGAAAGAAAAAAAATGACGACATGAAAGCATTTTAATTTTGGTAATTCTTAAAAGTCTTCATTTTTAATTATTATTTTTTCATTTTAACAGTTATTTGTTTGAAGGAAAAATTCACGAAGGTTGACATATCAACTAGGGAATGATATAAATACGATATATCTACCATTATTGTTCCACATACTACTTTGGTTAGTATTGTCCTATTGTTTAATCCGTTGTTCCGCCTTAAATTACAGATATCGACGATTGTGATCCAGATCCTTGCATGAATGGAGCAACTTGCACAGATGGAATAAACTCCTTTACTTGTGATTGTGTTGCCGGTTATACCGACAGTACCTGCTCTACAGGTTAAATATATAAATATATTTTGATTCTGATTCCCCTTTTAAGATGTGTGCCTTCTTGCACAATATATTTCAGAGATATATATTTATTTGTCTAAAATAATGTTTCTTTGTAATATTATTTTACAACGGTATCAATTTATATTGAATGTTACACAATCTAATTAGCGTTTTATATTGATTACTTGTGTGATGGATTGAAAACAAGTTACAATGTACTTCAGAAACGAGTCAGAAAGCAAATCTATGATTATTGTTCGAAATCTCGAGCAATGTACACACTTCATCACCCGGCAAGGATAAAAATGCAATGAATTGCAGACTGAGACAACTGATTAAAAGGTACTTGCCTTTGCCATTGTAATGCTCACGGTTATCATATAACATACATCATAATTAACACATTTTACAAGCATGAGGATATCATTTTAAATTTATAGGACATTTTTTACGTCAAGCATTACAATGGATTATGCATTTATTGTAGCTAATCATTAAATGTCTAGGATAAAATGAAATTTGTTAGAAACGAAAGAAAATTTGCATATTATATATAAGTTTTTGCCAAAATCCAAAATGTTCGTTAACAGAACTGATCCACGACATGTGAGCATTTTTGTTGTAGTTGTAATAAGTAAAGTCTTTATTTGTAACTAGTATATATTTATTTTAACAGTTCTTTGTGTGGACGAACAAATCTAAGAAGGTTGAAATGTCAAACGGGGAAAATGTATCAATAAAATATATACCATAATTGTCCTAGTTCTTTGGTTTATCGTACTACTGTTTAATCTGTTGATCCGCCTTAAATTGCAGATATCAACAATTGTGATCCAGATCCTTGCATGAATGGAGGAACTTGTACAGATGGAATAAACTCCTTTACTTGTGATTGTGTTGCTGGTTATACCGACAGTACCTGCTCTTCAGGTTAATTATACAAACATATTTTGATTCTGATCCCCCTTTTACAATTTGTGCCTTTTTCTCGAATTAATTCAGGTGATCTACATAATTTTGTCTAAAATAAAGTGTTTTTGTTGGTAATATTATATTAAAAGGTATTAATCTATATTGAAAGAACAACAATCTAATAACCGTCCAATATTGAATACGTGCGTGATGGATTAAAACACGTTACAATCTTCTTTGGAACGACTCAAAGAGCAAATTCATCATTATTGTTCAAAACCTCGAGCAATGTACACAATTTAGCACCTGGCAAACTTAAACATGCAAAGTATTACAGACTGAGACAACTAATTTAAAATACGTGCCTATGCCATTATAATGATCCAGTTCATTAAATAACAGACATTATACTCCATATTTTTTACAAGCATGTGAATATAATTTTTAATTTTTAGGACATTTAAAACTCAAGCATTACGATGTATTTTGCATTTATTCTAGCTAATTATTAAATGTCTTGAAGCAAATGGGAATGGTTTATCATTTAGTAAACGAAGATAATTGTGCATACTATAGATATAGCCACAGTCAGCTAGGTTCAGAACCATTTGCACTTGGGTCCAAAAATGAAGTATGCTATATAGCAGTTTCATCAACCCCAAATTGTTCATCCATACCCAAGGGTTAATACCCTCCAATATCCTTGAGGAAACTATCTTGGTTATAATTTTATTAACAGCAATACAACAGAGGTAGTAGGTGTTACGGACACTACACAGAGCTACTGGTATGATATTTTCAAGCAATATATTTTGCACTTCTTTGGGGAATTTCTTGGCCATTTGTAAAAAATTAAACAATTCACACTCACTTTAGTCCATTAATTAGATGCAGTATACACATCAGAGGTAACACAAGTTCAAGTCTCATAAAAGCCATTTTTTTCAAAACCTGAAACTGTTTAAAAAGCCAACCAAACATTGGTAAATGAGACAAATTCCAAAATTAAATCCCATATGTATACATATAAAAACAAATCAATTTGCTAGGAAGGCTCATTTCCTATAGGATGTTCCGAATACTGCATTTTATACATATAGTATACATGCTATTCTTTGATACTTCTGATTTTTTATTTTGTTTCTGCCATCATTGTTGTTGATAATAATACACAATATTTATAAGGCGCTTAATACTGATGTCTCTAAGCGCACCATATTCTGACTAAACAATTTGATGCATATCTTGAGGCCAAATTACAGAGAGTATCTTTTCAAATCCGCCTTACCAAGTCTCTCGGATAGGACTTAAAGGGAAGTTCTCCTTTTCAATTGAAGCAGACAAATCTGACAAACAGAAAATATATTTGTTCTATGTAGTTCCAGGGGTGGTCCCATTTTGGGTAATTTTTTATTCTTCTCCATCTGCTTTGTTCACGTTTAAACATTGAAAGAAGCCTAATTTAGTCATAAGAACATGAAAGAAGCATAGCTATTTAGACAATAAAGGAAGATGAAAGAAGACATAAAACAAAAAATGATATAATGAAGGAAATCATGAGGAAAGAAGGAAAAGGAGACTAAAAAAGGAAAACAACTTAAGAAAAGACAAAGAAGAATAAAAAAAAAGGATAAGAATTAGAAATATGGAAAAGGAATAAAAATATTAAAAAAAAGGAAGAAGAAGATTAAACAAAAGGATAATACAGTACATTATGTAGCATAATCAAGGCATTGAAACCCTATATATTTGAAAATATGAAAAGACGATGTCCTTCATTATTTTGATAAGTAACTCTGAAAAGATTAATGTATCTCATAGGACCTTACACGATATGCTCAGTGAGACCAGAAAACTATATGTTTGGAAAAGAAAGTTCCTATGGTGTCCTCGTATCGTATGTGCTGCAGGATATAATCAGTATTTTTAGAACCCATTTTTAGGAAATTGTTAAGATTGTGTTGGAAAATTTTGGGTCATAAAAAGACCACAGTCTGTACTTTATGAAGAGTATTACGACTAACTAAGTGATATACTTGTAAAAACTTAGACAGTGTACGTCCAAAAAACAGGAACGAAGCATTAACAAAAGAAGAACTGTTAATTAATCTATTTGCAAAATTATGGTATAATCAATAATCATTTGTGATACGTTTATTCAATAATCCTTAGATGTTCGGTGATCGTTGTTGGTGGTGGCAATTAAACCATTAGTCATAAAATCCTCGGATATATATATATACAAATGTCGGTAAACAAGTCGAAAGCGACCTCAGTCTAATTTTTCTTTCTCTCTCTCTCTCTCTCTCTCTCCATTAAATAGTCAGCTTAATTTATCTAGAGATATTGTGAGCAAAAATGTAGACGATGAGATATTTCATAATTTATATGTAAATCCCCTCAAGGGGATGTCCTCAAAAGAATGTATGTTTCCATAGTCCTCAGGAGACACTAATCATACACGCACTGATGCGTGCGCAAGTGTATATGTGTGTATGGACATAAACCTCAATGTAGTGACCTTTTTAGGTAGGCAATTAAATGATTAAAATAATGTATTTTCTCATCCATCAGACATATTCGATGTCATAGACAGCTTTTACAGTGTTAACATTTGTTTTAGAACACTGTTATCCAGAAAAAGAGGTACAGTTTGGCTTACAGGCCTTCATATTACTCATTCAGTAGTGTCCATAACACTGGCTTCTACTCTTTTCTACCCTCGATATTGAAACTAAAACATAATGATGCATTTAAGTTTATAATGTTGTTTTACATCTAACTAATATTGTTGAAATAAAACATTGATATCAAATTACTCGTTGTCAAATTTGTTTTTATCTTTTAAATTAAATTCATGGAAAATAGCTTATTTGTTTGGGTAATATGCAGGAGAAAACTTCAGGGAAAGAGAATTTGCTTCATTCATCGAGAAGAGCAAGTCTGTCAAATCAAATTTAAATTGCAAATTAGTAGTATAATAGCTCTATTCCCTATTTTGTTTGTATCTTAAACGATTATTATTAAAAAAAAAGTAAGCTTCATGTATTTTTTGTATATGTTTATGGTTAATGATGTTGCCTATTATGTGTATAAATGTATCTAATATATTTATCCTTTTATATGTCATTAATTTTATTTATGTTAAAGGTATTATGTCCCTTTTGCAGGCCAAAAAAAATGAAAAGGTTAAATTCCAATGGCATTTGAAAGATAATACTAATTTAGAACTCCCCTTAAAAAGAGGGGGCTTAAAAATGTCTTTAAGTGGGGGAAATAACAACTATTTGTTGTCAAATTGACTTAGGAGCTATAGAGCCAATAAGTAATAGTCTTGATTGTCAGACCATTGTACCGCATGTTGGTACGTTTTATGCTGCGCAAAGATTCAATCAGTTTAGTTTTGGCCATTACAAGAAGTGTGTTATTGATGTAGACAAATCCTTTACAGCTCATTTTATGTATGTTATTACCAAAACAGAAAAAAGCCAGTCAATCACTAAATAGTGTCTGACAGTGAAGTCTAGCAAGTAAACGGGTTTCCTTGCATAATTTGAATATTAGGACACTGCTAAAGTTTACATTTCACAGATAGGACATATATGACACATTCATAATTCCTTCAAAGTTCTACAGAATTAGAGGTTGGCTGCAAAAGGGACATTGTATCTTTAACATGTATAATGCTCAGTATATTTTAAATATCATGATGTTTTTACCTCGTATAAATGACCTTTTTTTTTTTACACCATCACACACTTGTGTCACGGACACTACACACGTTACGGACACTACAAACGTCATTTATTGAATTGCACAAAAACAACTTTTATGCTTAGCTGAACTTAAGTTTAGCACAGCTAGTCACCGGGGGTAGTTTCAAGGAGCAAAGTATAAAAGAACTTCTAACTAAATTTTCATAAAATCAGGAATGACACCGTTACGGAAACTACAGGAAATTCCGGACAAAATTTATGATCGGAATGTGGGCATATATGTTTGTAAAGTTTGTATCCATGTTTGATTTTTTTGTTTCTGATGATAGGACAACATTTTACTCAGAAAATATAACCAATTACCAATTGATTTAATGCTAAGATATAAGAATTATAGAGGCAAAATTATACACAAAGCTCTTTTTTAGAAAAGCGTTACGCTTGTCTCTCTTTACAGAAATAACTACTGTATCGTAATTCTTGGGTCAATTCTCAAGCCTTAAAAAATATACTAAGTGGAGATAACAGGATTACAAGAAAGCATGGAAAGATATGGCATATCTTGTGTAATTCCATAGTAACACCTTATGGAAAAATACACATTTTTCGAAGTGCAAATGAGCAGCCAAAAAGTGGTATTTTGGGCCCTCTATTACCATTCTTACATAGCCAACACAAATGAAATTCAAACAAAAGTTGCTGCCTGATGAAGAACTCATATGGCCGAACATTTCAGGCGAAAAGACATTTGATTAGATGACACTGTGTTTCCAGGAGAGATGCGTAACACTGTACGTAGAATAGTTGCACACTGATTGTGGCTACACCGTATAGGTTTTTGCCAGAATCCAACAAATTCTTTAGCAGAACCAAACCCCGACATGTAAGCATTTTTTGTTTAGTAAATTTGCATTTTAACACCTATTAGTTTAAAGGAAAAATGCATAAAAGTTGAAATATCAACTTTGGAAATATATCAAAACAATGTCTTCCATAATTGTTCTATTTACTCATTTTTTTATAATTGTACTATTGTTTAATCTTTTATTCCGCCTTGAATTACAGATATCAACAATTGTGATCCAGATCCATGCATGAATGGAGGAATTTGTACAGATGGAATAAACGCTTTTACCTGTGATTGTGTTGCTGGTTATACCGACAGTACCTGCTTTACAGGTTAACTATACAAACATATTTTGATTCTGATTCCCTCTAAAAAAATTAAAATCTAATAAGTGTCAAATATTGAATACTTGTGTGATGTATTAAAATCGCGGAACTACACACTTCGGAACCGACTCAAAGAACAAATTCATGATTATTGTTCGAAACCTCGAGCAATGTACACAATTTAGCACCGGGCAAGCTTATACATGCAAAGTATCACAGACTGAGACAACTGATTAAAAATACGTGCCTATGCCATTATAATGATCCAGGTCATCAAATTACAGACATTATACTTGATATATTTTACAAGCATGAGGATGTGATTTTTATTTTTAAGACATCTTTAACGTCAAGCATTATAATTTATTGCGCATATTTATTGTAGCTAATTATTAAATGTGTTGAAGCAAGTGGAAATTAATTATTATGTAGTAAACAAAGATAATTGTGCATATAGGTTTTTGCAACATCCAACCTGTTAATTAGCACAACAAATGACGACATGAAAGCATTTTCTTTTTAATAATTCGTTAAGTCTTTATTTTTAATTATTATTTTTTCATTTTAACAGTTATTTGTTTGAAGGAAAAATTCACGAAGGTTGACATATCAACTAGGAAATAATATAAATACGACATATCTACTATTATTGTTCAACATACTACTTTGGTTAGTATTGTACTATTGTTTAATCCGTTGTTCCGCCTTAAATTACAGATATCGACGACTGTGATCCAGATCCTTGCATGAATGGAGCAACTTGTACAGATGGAATAAACTCCTTTACTTGTGATTGTGTTGCTGGTTATACCGACAGTACCTGCTCTTCAGGTTAATAATACAAACATATCTTGATTCTGATCCCCCTTTACATTTTTTCTCTTTTTCTCGAATTTATTCCGGTGATCTATATTTATTTATCTAAAATAAAGTTTGTTTTTTGGGTAATATTATATTAAAAGGTATTAATCTATATTGAAAGAACAACAATTTAATAACCGTCCAATATTGAATACTTGCGTGATGGATTAAAAACACGTTACAATGTACAAGGAACCGACTCAAAGAGCAAATTCATGATTATTGTTCTAAAGTCGAAACCTCGAGCAATATAACACAATTTAGCACCGGGCAAGCTTAACATTGCAACGTATCACAGACTGAGACAACTGATTAAAAAGTTCGTGTCATTGCCATTAAATGCCCCAGGTCATCAAACAGACATTATACTTCATATCTTTTACAAGCATGTGGATATAATTTTTTAATTTTTTAGGACATCTAAACTCAAGCATTACGATGTATTGGGCATTTATTCTAGCTAATTATTAAAAATCTTGAAGCAAATGGGAATGTTTTATTATCTAATAAACGAAGAGAACTGTGCATACTATAGATATAGCCACGAAGTAAAGTGGATACGTCACCTGATTGCCGATCACAAGGTTCGCGGTTCCAATGTACTTTGGCAAGACATTGATCTAAATTTGCCACACTAAACCCAGGTGATGAAAATGGGTATCTGGCAGGAATCAATTCCTTAAAATGCTAAAGCGTCGTAATGGCCGCCTTGCTACAGCAAGAGTAATAATCGGGGAGCGCCAGGAGCATTACGACGTGGCGGACATGTGCGCTATATAACAAGCCATTATTATTATTATTATAGATTTAGAACACGGTACCATGTACTTCGGAGCCGACTCATTAAAGCAAATTCGTCATCATTGTTCCAAACCCGAGCAATGTACATAATTTATCACCGGGCAAGCATAACAAATGCAAAGTATCGCAGACTGAGACAACTAATTAAAAAGTACGTGTCATTGCCATTGTAATGCTCCAGATCATCAAATAACAAACACTATACTTGATATATTTTACAAGCATGTGGATATAATTTTTAATTCTTTGGACAGACTGAATGTTATTATTATTGAAATATTTGTCTGATTATTTCATTATGTTTACCAGCTTCCAGGATTGTTGGTGGCTCCTTCAAGTTTACCCGGCTTAATGGTCGGGAGGTTATTTTCACGGATTCTCTTAATGATCCGAAGTCAGAAGTTTACCGCAATCTGGAAAACCTTTGTTACAAAATCGTAAGTTCAACCTTTTTTTTGGAGTGTAGCATATTTTATGTGATTTACTATGATTTATTGAAATAATGTCAAATTACGAGTTTTCATTGTAATTGTAGTTGCAATCCAGTCGAAATAAAGTAAGAAATAATAGAACAGTGCTTATGTCTTTATTAGCTTGGAGAACAGGTGAATATGGTGTGATAATAAAGTCTTTACTTAAAAAGTATTTAATATTAAGCAAATTTTCGATAATCTAGCTTTACCCGTCTGTGGTATTAATATTATATTCAATCTCTGCATTTAAGCTCCACGATGTTTTGATGAACATCGTAAGCGCAAAAAACAATGAGTGGGATGTTGAAATTACTGGATTCTCGTCGGGCAGCGTCGTTGTCGATTTTGAAGTCGTGGTCTTCGACTCCGATAGGGCTAACCTCAACGCCGAAGCAGCAGCAGTAGAGACATCCCTGGGACTTCAACAGCCAGGCGTTTGGCAAACTGCGGATGGTTCTGTCAGTCTCAATGTGGAATCCATTGTTGCTTTCGGTGAGTTTGAATATGAATTGTGGTTGTACTTCAGGTGGATGATAATTATTCACAGTGTGGTAAGAGGCGTTATGAAATTTGTTAAAGCTTAGGTTGGTAGGTCTTCTCAAGACAGCTAAATCATGGATATCCGGCCTTATCTGACCTAGACCGAATCCATTTTTCTAAAAACCAAGAAACCAGAGGCCGAAGGGGGAGGGGGACGGGGAGCGTTGTGTTCACAAATTTTAAAACGCCACACATTAATGGAATCGAATTGAAACATCCAACTGGCATATCATGAACACAAGGACAGTACATTCGCAGTTGCAAAGCAGTGAACAAACGGTTTTTGAGTAGTCGTAAATTTAGCCAATGATTGATGTCTTTTTCTTCCAATAGGTGAAATCTGCCTTACTAATCCATGTTCAAATGGGATGTGTGTTACGTCGCCCGGAGACATAGATTACAGATGCATTTGTCATTATGGATATACGGGACAATATTGTGAAACAGGTGAGCGACCATTAATTCCTCAAGCACTTTCTTTAAAGAAAAATCCAACCTTAAGAGCAAATTGTTCTGAAAGAAAGAAGACAAATTAGAGAATTAGTTTGGTGAAAGTTTGAAAGTAGTCGGACAAACAATAAGAAAGTTGTGAATAATTGAAAATTGCAATCACTAAACATAAGGGGATTTCAAATCAGTATTGTCACCTTGATATTGTTGCGGACAACTTTACAATTTGTTCCAAAAAGCTAATTTACTAAATTCATCAAAATGTACTACCATGTACTACTCGGGAGGGCCTTTTCTTTTTAAAAATGGAATATCCATAATATATGTTGAGTAATACCCTAAGGTAGAAGGCGGTTTGCAGAAATACAGAAATATCATTTTATGGATATGTATAAATATATTCATATTTAACTAAAGGCGTCATTAAAGGGACATTTGGAGTGAAAAATGAGTCATTAAGTAGACATTGTCATTAGGAGGACAATTTGGTGTCCACTTAACGTTTTATTTCTCATGGAAGGCCCTTTTATATCTCTCTCTATATAAAGGCGTCAATGGAAGGACATTGGGAGTGCAAAAATGAGTCATTAAGTAGACTCTAGGGTTAGGGTTAGGGTTAGGATTTTTATGATGTCCACTTAATGTACCATGTAGGGTTATATATATATACATATATATATTTATATATTTATATATTAATATACCAACTATATAATTTACATATATATATCCATTATTTGTCCGATTCATTCTTATTTTACGCCCATCTGTTTCTCTTACTTATTTGCTCTAATACAAATATTAAACTCATTACAAAGTTTGGATTGCCCTTAAAAACGGCAATTTTGATAATACTGTACAACTCATTTCATTTCACCAATCATCATTTTCATCAACTCCTTCACCTTCACCATCATCATTATCATCAGCTAGAGCGTCCGTATCTCTCTTATGGCACTTTCATAAGCCTTTTGGTTTTCAGCATCCGTTTGGACAAGACCAAAATGCCCTCATCTCTCCTTTGATTCATTTCATCAATAAGCAACAGATTTACTGACATAACTCTCAGATCCTGGATTAGGCCAATGAATCAATGGTATATTGCAAATTTAACGATGCTTCATTTTTCACTTTCCTTTTTTCAGAGGTAATTTGCCTCCTGCCTAATGAGCCGTTCAGTCATGTTGTAATGGCTCTAAGCGTCTACAGAGGAAATGATTTTGTCACTATACAGTGCGACGACAAAGAGGAGTATGTTATATGGCAATGCAACGGAACGTCTGGGAATTGGATACAACTGGCAAACCTTGATTGCAGACCAGGTAGTAAACGTGCAAGTTAGGCTCATTCGCAAATTGAATTGAACAGAGACAAGTTAACGAGAAGGGCTTTTATATGCTAACTGAAGATGAAAACGATAATGACGATAATGATGATGTTGTCGGTCTGGTGCGTCGCGTTGGTGCTTCCGTTTAACCTGTATCATTTTATACTATTTTATCCTTTGCAGAACCAGAAGTACGTGGACTGTCGACTGGAGTTATCATTGGTATTGTGATCGGAATAGTGGTTGTCATTGGAATGATTTTTTGTTTTCTCTACAAGTAAGTTTTCATTATTTGATACTAATCTAATTTTAAAGTACTATATTTCTTCGACATATTTAGTAAAACGAACAAACATCTATTTAACGATATACCAAGTTCGCGAGTGTTTTTTTCTTCTTCAAAACATTGTACCTCTTTTAGCCAAACGGAAGAAGAAAAAACGCACTCATGGACATACATTATCATGTTTATATGCCAGAATTAGGGTACTTCAGTTAAAAATATTGAACCATGAGTCGAGTATACAGTTGAGTAAAATATTGGCAACAGAGTGAGGAAGCTAATCATATTTATTACAAGAAATAAGTAGTTTTGGGATAGGCTATTTTTAATGTGAGCTCGTCAACATTTTACTAGTTTCATAGGGGATTTTTTTTGAAAAATATTTGTTGGGTCGGCGTGAGAAACATATCATACGATCGTCAAAAATAATATTTTTTCACCACCTACTGCACTATTGCAATAATATTAGAGGAAAACTCCGGTTTAGTGGTCCACCATCATATCCTCAATCAGTTTTACCGGGAGGAGAGACCGAAGGGTTACAGCGGGGATGTGATAGAGAAGGAGAGAAAACAAGCCGCTCTTATTTGACCCCATGCTCCAGGCCGCCGAAAAGATATTCGCTAATATGCAACTTTTGACCAGGTGGTGTGATAAAAAAGCGCATGAAATATCAGGATTTAAAATTCCTACATCAGAACATGGTATCCCAGCAAATGTTCGCTGTCCCTTTCAATGATTTCTCATCAATTGTTGAATGTGTAATGAGTAGCACAAGCGAATACAAACTTTTGTAATGTCATCCTTTTTGTCTATGCAAAAATACAAAAAACACGAGAAAACACGCATTAGCAAACTTGTAGTTATCGAAGATTGTAAATCATGGATTGAATGAATGATTGAATGACATTAAAACATGCGAAAATAAGCGCATTATCCTAAAATATTGGATTTTTGTCGGAATCTAATTTTTCTTCTACCAACTCTGGCACACAACTTGTAGGAAGGGCGGAGTATTAAATTTGAAAAATTGTTTGATGCACTATTCCCAATACAATCTCCAAATATAAAGTTTATAATTTACACAGAAATTTTGCCGGTAGTTTAATATTTTGTAATAACTGTGAAACTGGTGCCTGGCTAAAATTCCCCTCAGTGAAAGAGCGGCTCGCAGCATGGAACTTCAAAGCCAAGTGGAATGTTACACATCCCTTTGTTACGCTATAGAACTAACGCATGCGTTTGCATAACTTAAAATAGTTTCCACTCTTTCTCTATCACCTCCCTGGTTACAGTGATTCAGTTCGCCTGCCCACTATCGAGCACAGGCAGGTGACAATAATTTGGATTAATTTATATACTGAATAACAAGCTAAAGCCTCTCGATGCACTTATCTATTCAATTTTATTGTCATTTTTACACATCTAAATGGGTGATTGGCAAGGCTATTTTAATTACCTTAGGTTGATTTTTTGAACGTCTGAATTTAGTTTTCAACCGCCCTCCTGCGCGAACCGCGGAAGCTTTGACGTTTCATAAAAAGATTAGAGAAAGAAGACGATTCGTTGTACCGTTCTCGATTCTTAATCCTTGTCTGAATTTAGTTCCCTCCCCCCTCTTGTACGAAGCACGGAAGCTTTGAATTTCCATTAAATGATTAGAGAAAGAAGACGATTCGTTGTACCGTTCTCGACTCTTAGTACTTGTCTGAATCCAGTCCCCCCCCCCTTCCTGCGTGAGAAGCGTAGAAGATTTGACGTTTCATTGAATTATTGGAGAAAGAAGACAACTCATTGTACCGTTCTTTACTCTTAATCCTTGTCTGAACTCAATTCCTCCCTCCTACGCGAAATGCGGAAGCTTTGACGTTTCATTAAATGATTAGGGAAAGAAGACAATTCTATGTACTGTTCTCGACTCTTAATCCTTGTCTAAATTTAGTTTCCCCCTTCCCACCTGCGCGAAGCGCGGAAGCTTTGACGTTTAATTAAATTGATTAGAGAAAAAGAAGACGATTCGTTGTATCCTTATCGACTCTTAATCCTTGTCTGAATCAAGTCCCCCCCCCTTCCTGCGCGAAGTGTGGAAGCTTTGACGTTTCATTGAATTATTAGAGAAAAAGACGATTCGCTGTACCGTTCTTGACTTTTAATCCTTGTCTGAATTCAGTTCCTCCCTCCTACGCGAAAAGCGGAAGCTTTGACGGTTAATTTAATTATTAGAGCAAGAAGACGATTCGCTGTACCGTTCTCGACTTTTAAATCTTGTCTGTATTCTGCCCCCCACCCCCCTCCTGCGCGAACCGCGGAAGCTTTGACGTTACATTGAATTATAAGTAAAATAGGACGATTCGTTATACCGTTCTCGATTCTTAATCCTTGTCTGAATTTAGTTCCCTCCCCCTCCTGCACAAAGCACGGAAGCTTTGACGTTTCATTAAATTGATTAGAGAAAGAAGACGATTCGTTGTATCATTCTCGACTCTTAATCCTTGTCTTAATCCAGTCCCCCCCTCCTGCGCGAAGCGTGGAAGCTTTGACGTTTCATTGAATTATTAGAGAAAGAAGACGATTCGCTGGACCGTTCTTGACTTTTAATCCTTGTCCGAATTCAGTTCCTCCCTCCTACGCGAAATGCGGAAGCTTTGACGGTTTATTAAATTATTAATGCAAGAAGACGATTCGCTATACCGTTCTCGACTCTTAAATCTTGTCTGTATTCTGTCCCCCCCCCCTCTTGCGCGAAAGCGGAAGCTTTGACGTTACATTGAATTATTGGTAAAATAAGACGTTTAGTTGTACTGTTCGCGACTCTAAATCCTTGTCTGAATATAGTCCCCCCCCCCCCCCTCTGCGAGAATCGCAAAAGTTTTGACGTTTCATTAAATGATTAGAGAAAGAAGACGATTCGTTCTATCGTTCTCGACTCTTAATCCTTGTCTGAATATAGTTCCTCCCTCCTACGCGAAAAGCGGAAGTTTTGACGTTTCATTAAATGTTTAGAGAAAGAAGACGATTCGTTGTATCTTTCTCGACTCCCAATCCTTGTCTGAATATAGTTTCCCTCCCCCTGCGCGAAGTGCGGAAGCTTTGACGTTTCAAAGCTTTGACGTTTGAATGTTATATCCTCCCATCCCCCCTATCAGAACACCAGTGCCCCCGATCTACACCTTATGGGCGGCAAAAATCGCAACCGATCTCCCATACCTTTCTTCTTTCTCTTTTTCCCCTTTCTCTCCTCTTTCCCCTTTCCTTCCTTCTCTCTTTTTTGAGCGGGGGCGGGGGGGGGGGGGGGAGTCAAGGGCCTTTTGCCCCGCCCCCCCCCCCGATCCACACATTTTTGGCGGAAAAATTGCAACTGATATCCCCTACTTTTCTTTTATTCTTCCCCTTTTTTCCTTCCCTTTATCTTCTCTTTTCATTTCCCTTTCCTTCCTTCTCTCTTTTTTTTTATTGGGGGGGGGGGGGGCGGGGAGCCAACAGCCTGGGCGTCGAGGCCCTTTCGCCCCTCCGATCTCCTTCTTCCCCCTTTCCTTTTCTTCTTCCTCTTTTTCTTTCCCTTTCTATCCTCTTTCCCTTTCCCTTCTTTTCCTTCTCTCTCTCTCTCTCTCTCTCTCTCTCTTTTGCGGGGAGGGGGGGGGGGGGGGGCGGCAAGGCCCGCTCGCCCCCTGGATCCACGCCTGATATGGGGACTCGGTAACACATTTGTGACGTAGTGCCTAAAATCTATCCCATTTGTGTGAACTAAAAAATGGTTTGAAATTTCATTTTGTTTTTCTTCAAAATGTGCCACACAGGAAGGTCGTTGTTTTTAAAGTACTTATAATAATATGCTATTCATAAAGTATTTTAGGTGGTTCCCCAAGGGAGAAGTAACTTTCGAGAAAAAAGAAATTATACATAATTTCTACACGATAAAAGGGAGAGTTCTCCATAACAAATTCACAATCCACTGAACAAGTTGTCAATTTGATATTCTCATAGGTTTAGAGATCTCATACTTCAAACATTCATGAATCTAATATCATCGATCCGATTTATTTCAAACTTGCGGCATTCTGTTTTTTCTGCTGTAATACAAATGGACTTATTACACAAATTTGATTACCCTTTGACTTTTCTTAGGATGGCTTACATGAAACCACGGGGGCATCAGGGAATATTAAACCAAGGTGGCGACTTTGTTCCACAAGAATCCCGGGACACAAGCGGCAGCACGGAATTGACTGCCCGACCCATTAGGACCGACACATTGCCACCACCCCCAACTTTCACGCCAAATCATGGCATAGTGCCGCGCGAACCGCCGCGCTTCATCCAAATCTCGGGGTTTCAGGTAAGAGAAAACCCAGGTGGCGACTTTGTTCAACCAGAAATCGGGGACGCCCCGTACTGTCGACAAATAATACGTACCGAAAGCGAAACTTAATGCTCCTTTATGCATACTCACTGCATATGTTTTATGACCAATCACTGATGTGTTGAATAACACAGGTTTTTTCTTTTTCAAACAATCAGGAATTGTTTTCACTCCAATCCCAAATAACCAGGAGAGGGTGGTGGAGGTGGGGCGTAAGAGGCAAAAGCCCCTCCTAACCGGGGGGGGGGGGGGGCGGACGGGAGATAGAGAGAGAGAGAGAGACAGACATACAGACAACGTAGTTCAATGCAGGCAATATATCTGGGTTCCGCGAGTACGGCCATACAATGAAAAAGGTCGACAACTCCCTTTCATCTGGCACAAGCACATATTGTTTAAAACGATATAAAAAAAAAAAAAGCATCAAAGCATCTATTCAGGAACTTTTGTTAACATTCAAAGCCACTGCCCAATATATAATAATCTACACATGTAATATATCCCCGATTTTTTTGTTCAGTGCTTTAAGGAATATACATGTTTCCATATTGGGAGGTGAAATAGGTTTGGTTAACATCATTTCCTAACGCTGTTACATGTGCTCGTTCATGAAGGACAATTTGAATGTAATTATTTTCAAAACATGGTTCCATTGTAAAAGCCTTGTCAAGCAAATCGCATTAGATACCTTTTTCTACATAGCCGATCTATTTCAAATGTGTAGGCCTATACAGTGTGCCAAGCTTCAAAATCTGTTGGATAATGTGTCATACAAATAAGGAGCGAAGAGAGATACTCGTACATGGTATTGCCGACATCTACGGCTCCTGTGTGCACTGTCTGATTTTACTCAGTAAAAAGAAAAAGGCGTGTGCAGAAATAAGGTTTTGAACTGCATCAAAGTACACTTCACCATCCAGCATTTGTACGCGATGTGCTTGTTATCAAAATTCTCTAACCGTTGAATTTATTTAAGTATAGAATTTCTGGACCCTTTAATGAGTAGGGAAAAGGACCTTTGCTGTCAATTGAAAAGTACTGTGGTTTTAAAATATGCACTAGAAAATTTAGCCTAAAGCACTTCTGCTTTCGAGAAATTGAATAATCAAATATACCGGTGCTCCCGGTAAATTTCAAATTCAAATTTCATGGTAGCTGCGACCATGTAAATCTCAGAATATGCAGTTATGATATATAATTTCCAGACGGGGGTAGTAAATCGGTCGATTGTAGTCAAGAAACATTGTTTTAAAGCTAAAGTAATTTCAGTCTTGAGAGGGAACTTTGCAACATAAAGAGATTATTATTTTCAATATTATCACTTTAACCTTGATTTTAACCGCGACAAAGATCTTTGATTATTGTAAAATCACATATGCCTCCAATATGTTCATTTGAACCAAATTCACGACCTCATACCAAAACTTTGTATTACCTTTTATATACTCATGTTTCTTACTTCTGTACAATGCACAATTTACTCACTCAATTTGATAAGTGCACTTAATACATCTTGTTTCAGCGAGTGCTATACGATGAAGAACATCGGTCGGATTGTATACCTGTACAGAATATCATTGAAATTACCGATCAAATCATCTGTACATGCAGAGAAATAGTAAGAGAAAGGGAGAGAGAGAGAGAGAGAGAGAGAGAGAAGGACTAGCACAACTTGTCTCGACCAAGCCACAAAAGGGCTTTTTATCAAATTTCAACAATTTATCATCAAGTATTAAAACAATTTATTTTATATCCATATTCATGTTGTTAAAGTTCAGAAACAATAATCGGAAGAAAAAAACACACACCGAAGCGCCGTTCGCGTCAGGGGCAGATCTAGGGGGGGGGGGGTAGGGGGTTTAAATCCCCCTTGGGCTGGGCAAATAAAAAAGGAGTAGGATTTTAAGTAGTTCCCAAAGCAAGTAGTAACTTTCGAAAAAAGTAGAAATTATTTATATTTTTTACACGACGAAAGGGAGGGTTGTCCATAACTTCGTCACTGACAATCTACTGAACAAATTTTAAATTTGATATTCTCAACGGTTTAGCGATCTCATATTTTGAACATTAATTAATCTGATATTATCGATTAAATTTATTTCAAACTTTCCGCATTCTGTTTTCTCTGCTATTCTTACGCTTTAATTCATTTAAAGTCAAATTCGAATTCAAATTAATTTTTTTTTCCATTCAATTTGACAACATATTTGACATCTGTTCAAACAATATCATTCATACATAGGAACATAAATATAATTGAAGAACTTGTATTATCCCGGTAAGCATAGCTTGTAATGGTTAAATAGAAGAAAGGAAGAAAGGGATAGGCAATGAGGAGAAGAGGACAAACAGCATGGAGAAAGAGAAAAAGAAGAGGACTGCAATATAGTAGCAATGGAGTGTATAGCATGCATATCATCCATTTTATCACCCATAGTATTACCCCTACTTCTGTATGGGTATCGATATAACAGTAATAATTTATAATATATAAACAGAATACATTCTTATTGAAGAGTAATATTCTTTTATACTTTTATAGGATATTTTTTAACAGGTGTTTTTGAGAATGGACTTATTACAAAAGTTGGATTACCCTTTGACTTTTCTAAGGATGGCTCAAATGAAACGGCAGACGGTAATTGAACGGTGCTGAACGAAGAGTGCAGTCCCGAAACCCCGAGTCCATTCGGAATGGAAAACCGTGGTGGCAGCTTCCTGAATCATAATTAATGTCCGACCTGAGCAGTGACTATGGTCAATACCACGTTCTTGAAGAACAATCAGGGGCGTCGTTAGATGCCAATGTGCCAATGTATATAAATTTAACCCTATAAACCGGGGGCCGGGAATTATTTTTCTTTACTTGCGCATGTGCCCATGGTAGTTTTCTCGACCATATAAATATATACTTTGCATTTCGTCAAGACTAGTCATCATCGTAGCTATGTGCTTTCTTTCAGACCAACCAATCGATGTGGCGCGATCGGTAAGAGAATTGCGCTACAACAGAAATATCTAGGATTCGATTCGATTCGATACTCGATGTGGCTATTTTTGAACTTCTGTTTTCTTTTGTTGATATTATAGTAAGGCTGACAATGACATTAGACAATGATTTTTAATGATTGCTAGTGAAACGTCGGGAAAATACATGCATTGTAGTTTTCGTCACAGCGGATAAAAAGTCATAGTTCGCAAGACTACTTTACTTAATTTCTGTTATATGTTACTATGTATTGATGTTTTCGATGATGTTCATATTTGTTCAAGTAGTTTGTATCTTCATTTTGTTATGTTGAATTTGTTTACATGGCCTCCTGGAACACAGTAATTTGATTACTGACGGGCTACCCTGTTTGAATAAAACGGAATAAATAAATAAATAAAAAAAAATCGCCGGCCGACCGACTTAAAACATCTTACCGAGTAATTCAAACTTCTACATTGATATAGTACATGAGGATCGAGCGAGAATACCGACACAGCTGACCCGACACAGCAACACAAATATGCGTATCTTTCTAGCTCCCTCGGCAAGACGACTCCACCTAGCAAAACAAAACCTCTCTCTCTTACTCCCACCTCCTCCTCCTCTATCATGCTCGTACCCCCTTTCCCTCCTTTCTTTTCTCTCCCCGTTTCTGTTGTTTCATGTTCTCCTTTTTTCTTTTTTCCCGTTTTTCCTTTTGTCCTATCTTTTCTTTCTTTGCCTTTCTTTTCTTTTTCTTTCTTCTCTTCTTATACCTTTCTTTTTCTTCCTTTTTTTCTTTTCTTTTGCTTTCCATCTCATTTTCCTTCCCCCTTTCTCATGTTCCTGACGGCAGCGCAATTTTACCGACACAATCCTGATAGGTGGGGGAGTATCGCACCCCCCCCCTTTATCAACGCCCCTGAGAACAATATTATCATCTCAGAGATGGCTGTTAAAATATTTAAAGTTTTCTTTTAGGAAAATGTGTCTGATTGCACTAATCGAAAGCTTATGTTTCTTCTTGCACACTCACTATTTACGATTTATGATTGGAATTTTTATTCTTCTGCAGGTTCATACTTTTCCAGTTTGTATACATATATACCTATGTTTTTGTACGTTATAGAAATTATACAAATATATCATTATTTCACTCTTCTTCCTCCTCCTCTTTTTCTTCTTCTCCTTCTTCTTTTTCTTTTTGTACTTATTATCATTTCTATCATCAGTCTAATATTGTTATTATTATTATCTTTAATAATTTGTTATTCTTTTCTTATCTGTCTGTAAATATTACTATTCTAACTATTATTTTGTACATGTTTGTAGGGGACCCAACTGGAAATAAGCTCTCAAGCTTCCGTGTGTTATCCTGTTCAAGCTGACTTAATGTTGATCTGTTTATTCTTGGATATTGTTGTATGTTAAAAACTTGGCGAATAAAAATCAATCAATCAATCAATATTGTGTATTGTACAATACACAATCAATCATATTTTAATGTATCCCTTCTCCCCTTCCCTTCTTCCTTTTTCTTTTGTATTGGTGTTTAGATTCTCTCGGCTTTCCTTTTCCCTTTTTCTTTTCTCAACAATACAGTGTATACTTTTTAAGGGGTTGACGTTTCATTAGGCTTATTGCCCTTTTTGTTAACCCCACATTCCCATAAAATTTTGTTTGCTCCTTTCCTTTGTATTTCTCTTGTAATCGATCTTTTATCTGTATACCATGTTTGTATGTTTTAATGTTTTTATGGAGAATGAAATAAATGAAAAAAAAAAAAAATTGATTGACACAGATTTTTTGTTTTAGACAATCATCGTGCGTATTGCCAACATCTACGGCTCGTGTGTGAACTGTCTGATTTTTGCATAATCAAGAAAAAGGCGTGTGCAGAAATTAGGTTTTGCACTGCATTTGTATATGATGTGCTTTTTATCAAAAACGTTTAGTTCCTAACCATTCTCTAACGGTTGACTTTACTGCACGTTTATAATTTGTGTACCTTTTAATGAGTATAGAAAATGACCTTTGCTGTCAATCGATAAATACAGGGGAAATGTTATGTGCGTCATTTTATACACATTTTTTTTGATGCAGTAACGTATTGACACACTAATTTTCTCCTTATGTTTCTTACTATTGTACAATACACATTTTGCTCAATCAATGTGATAACTGCACTTAATTTATCTTGTTTTAGCGAGTGTCATACTATGAAGAACGT